TATAATTCGATTTTCTGCTCAACACTCGCTCGTACAAACAATATTATCTTCTCCACCGAACAACATTACCAACTCGGGCACCAACCCACGCAAGTTGTTGGGTGTTGCGGGCGCGTTAACGTTGTTTTTTTGAAACTGTTTTTTGTGGTTGAAGTTGCCAGTGTTATGCTGTTGTTGTTGCTATTGTTGTTACTGTTGCTGCATGCTTTCCGGCATGTGGGCGATAATGATGTTGCATTCATCGCTAGTTTGCCTCCGCTTTCAATTCAAAGCGAAAGAGGTCGGCTAAGTTAGCGTTGTAATGGTTGTGGTTGGTGGTTGGTGGTTGATGTCTGGTTTGTTCCATAATTCTTGGTGTTATCAGTTCGGGTTACTACACATAAGGCATGACAACAAATTGCGGCAATGACAAGTACGTTGACAAAAACGCTATGAATAACAGTAAATAGCAGTCAATGTGCGCTGACATCGATTCAAATAACAGAATAAAAAAAGTTGTAAAACTTCAAAACACGCAGTAATGTGGAAGAAGATCAAGATATTGTATGTATGTATTAGAGGTCTGCATAGGAAATCCAGCAAATGCGTAACAAACTTTTACTCTTAACTACAGCGAATATTTCCGGGACCAGAGAACGTCTAGGAAGGTTTTTTTTTCAAATTTTCAACAAAAGCCTTCCCATAAAAACCATCAATGGATAAAATCAAATATCACGAGAAGAGATAGCGAAAGAAATGTGACGATATTTTAAAGCTTTTGAGATGGAGAGTTCAGAAAAAATAGTCTGGTTAAATAAAATAACTATCTTGACCGCTAAAATGAGCTTCAAAAATAGAAGTTTTAAGTTTTTTTTTATTTTTTAACTTAAAGCCAGTTGCAGTATTAACTTTTTAAAATTTCTAAATGCATATATTTACTGTTCTTGCGTCAAGAAATTTATTTCCTTCGTCAGATTAACAAAAAAAACGTATTTTATTTTATTTTTAATTCATTGCATACTGCTTTTAGGTCAAAAACAAACAAAAAAATAAGTTTTTTGGTTCCTGCGACCATAGAAATGGATTTCTTGACGTAATAACAACAAAATATGTATTGAAGTTTTTTTTAAAAAATCCATACAACTTAAGTAAAAAAAAAAATAAAAAATTTAAACCCATATATTTTTGGAGGGCATTTAAAGCTCAAGACAATTATTTTATCCAACGACACTATTTCCTGAATTCTCCATCACAAAAGCCTTAAGATGCTGTTACATAAACTTTGGTATCTCTTCTCGTTCGCGAGATATTTCATTTTGTCCATTTTCTCCCAAAATAGAACACTGTGGGACGTATGTATGTCTCGTGTGACAACTTTATGACAATGCATACCACAAACTAAAGAAATGCGGTCAAAAACTGGGGGCCCTCTTATGGACCTCTTATGGTCAGCCAGCATAGTCTAACCAAACCTAACCTGAGTCCTATCGATTAGTAGTACGCACCTCTAACCACTCAGCCTCCTCAAATTATGTTACAGTTTTTATTCTCCGTATTTTACGTATTTTTGCGAAACATGACAAAAGCCGGTTTTATGTTGTGTTAGGCGGGTGCGTTCTCTTTGGCACCATAGTCCTGATTGTCATGACGGGGAAAACGAAAATTATTCTAGGCGGGTCCATATCCCTAAAATTTTTCCCTTGTTTTGGCGAGTACAAAGAACTGTAGTGTGTCTCATGTGTTCAGAGCCGCGATAAACTAGCGTCTTAGGCATGTTAGGTGAGAGCATTACAATTCCGACTTTACTTTTTCACATGAATTTTGGGACCACCCTAATGTGTATACACATGTGTCACTACCTTTATGTAATGTACCTATAATGTAAATCTCATCTACTCTTTTATTTTATCTCGAATAATTAACAATAATAATTTCATCTTTCTTCTCTCCTTTTAGGTGGATGGACAAAAGTATATGGGTCAGGGTCGCAGCAAGAAAATCGCCCGCATCGAGGCAGCCGCAACGGCGTTACGCAGTTTCATACAATTTAAAGATGGTGCCGTCTTGACGCCGCTGAAGCCGACTTGTAATCTTGATTTCACTAGCGATGAGCATCTGGAAAACGGTATTGCTAACTATGACAAACTAAGCACGGATGAATTAGTCTCGCTTTTAGACGCACTGTTCAGGCATGCGAAATTTGTTAAAAAACTGACACCCTTCATGAAGGTTTCCGATTGTACATTGAGCATGACAAGCAAGTANTTTTGTATTCTACTTAAATTGTTTGTATATACAAAAGTATGTACTTTTAAATTTTCGGTTAATTTTTATTGAATTTCTTGTGTGATGGGAGGTATGGTGTAAGGAAAGGGTATTTAAAAATAAATAAAAGGATGGGCTTTTCGGGATAAGTCATAATTTTACTATGTGTGATGTATACGAAACCCCAGTCGGACTACGTTGCTTCCAAAATGTACTTATACGGAGGTTCTTTTTCCACTCAGAAGTAGTTCCAAAATCATGAAGCCTTCAATTTGCTTTTATACAGGCGTGAAACACAGCAAGAACGGGTCTTTAAGAAGGCGATTTCGCATTTGGTGGTTGTTGTTGGTAGTGAGAAAATAATGTAGTTATTTCTTCATGTAGATTTTTTCTAATTTTTCGTACAGAATTTAAATGTGCTTCGAATATTTCGAAAAAAAAACAGTGTCCTAAAAGGCTTTCTCAGAGAACCATATTCTGCATCGTCCGACTTGGATGTTGCCAAATGCTATGTACTTAGATATTTACTTAAGCGCAGAGGAAAGGTTTCACTCCGTGGTGATTCATAAAAATTAATTCTATGGCAGAAAGGCTAAAATTTAGTTTATACTGAAAATGTGTATTTCTCAACGGCTGCAGCGTGCGCTCCGCCCTCCATGAATCTTAAATGTAGGCTTCCAGCTGATTGACTTGCCCGGCTTCGATGGGCAGGTTAATATTCATCTATTCTGATAGCCAAACGGCAATACAATTCCTGAGGCAAACAATTTCAAAGGGCTCATGCAGAGTTTTCCCTGTGAAACAGCCATTTTAGGCTCCAACGAAATATTACCCAAGGGTAATATTCAGGCGTGGTAGTCCAATCTGAAATTGATTTAGCTCCGCCTAATCACAATTTCTTTTACATTGCGTTATCTTTTTCGTTCAGAAATTAATCAAAGTAGATGCAATTTTATTTACAATTTTATTTTAAACATAAGTCTTATTCTCTAAGTATTCTTTTTTTTTTATTCGCTAAGTAATATTTTTTTTCAGGGATTAAAAATTCTTTTAAATTTTACTTTTGCTTTCTAAAGATACAAATTATGTTTGATGTCCATTTCTACAATAGTTGAAAAGTCACAATTTTCCGTTGCTTAGGGTCCTAAGTCTTTCCGCGGAAGTGAAATATCTAGGGGAACTTTTGACACGAAGCATGAAGAGCTCACATCGAACTGAAGATAAATCGGCTATGGTATTTTGTGGTCACATAGGGTGTTGGCCAATACAATAGCACCCCCTCTTCAAAGTGATATTGTTTGCCACTCGTGTTCATTTATTTCTTTTTAGGAATTTTTAATTAAAACACAGTTCATTCTCTAACAAAACCCTTATAAATCTAAGTTTAAAACTTTGTAGAAAACTACCAAAAAGTGCAACAAATTTTCAACCACATTTCAAACCCCTTAGAAGTGTTGGAATTTTTTTGAGTACATAGTTTTATAGCCCATTTAATTTTAGTCGAACAATGTGCAAGTTTCAAGTGGCTAAAAATTACCGTTTTTTTTGATTTCAAAAAAAAATCTAGCGCTTCTGAGAAAAAAGTTTGAAATTTTGCTAAAAATTGGTTGATTTTTTTTTTAAACTTGGGTTTATATGTATTTTGTTATAAAATGAGCTATATTTTAATGGAAGATTCTTAAAAATGATTAATTTAACACAAGTGGCAAACGATATAATTTTGAAATGGGGCGTTATAGATATGACCAGTACTGTATGTACCTATAGTCAGACCGATCGCCTCGTATT